TGGCCTCCTCCAACTCTGTGGGAACAGGCTCATCATCATCATACTCTGCTTCAAAGGCTTCTTCTTCGTCATCATACCACTCTTCATAATAGGCTTCATCAGCCTCATCACACCACTCATCCTCCTCCTCGATGTAGACCTCGTCTTTGTTCGAAGGCGAAGGACGTGTCATCAGATCTCGAGCATTGGGCTGATGATCACCACCGAACATTCGGATGAGTGCTTTGCCCACTTTCTCATACTCCAAGTCGCCAGAGCACATGGCCTTGATCTGAACGTGGGTCCATCGAGGTACTCCTGCACGAGTCAACAAATGCCAACCCGACAGCAAAGGTGGAACCTCCACATTCACTTCACTCATCCTCTTTAGCAATGTCCTGTGACGTATCAAGTAGGCCTGAAGCTCTTCTCCCTTCTTTCGAGAAAAATCGGAGAAGAATTCGTCACACCGGGATGGAACTTCTATGAGGTCCTCGTACTGGTAGAGCTCATCCAACAAGCGAAACTCCAGCCGAAAAGGGTCCGGGGAACGCTCAACCTCATCGAAACTCAATTGCTCTGTAGCATCCCATGCAACATCTCTCAAGCGATTGATCACCAAGAAAGCTCCCTCTATGGTGGCATCATGTCCTCTTCGATCACACTGTTTCTTGAACAGCTCAAGCCTCCGCCTGTAACTCCGGTAGGTCTTCTGGTTGAGGTTTTCTGAAGACGGACATGCCTTGGCTAAACCTGAATCCAGTCCTCGACTTTGATGGGGTGTATACGGCAGTTGCCTACCCGGTTCATCTCTTTCAACATTCATGAACAATGTTCCAGGTCCTCGAACGCCAACAGATTCGCTAGCGTGACCAGGATTTGAAGTCCTGGCTCGACGAATGGGAGTTCGTCTTGGGCTCCTTTCAACGCCCGACATAGACGTTGTCACAGATCGTATCTTCGATCTTCACGGGGATCTCGTAGGCTTCCTCAAGCACGTAGATCACCGTAGGAACCGGCAAAGAGGAGCGTCGCCAGCTCCGCTACCAATCCAAACGTAGGTCTCAATCGGCTCCCGAAGTCCGCAAACGTTTCTCGCACGCACAGGGTCGTAGCTAAAGGGGTGCTCAAGGGCCCTGGATAGAAAATGGCCACATATTCGACATTAAATGAAAGTGAACCTGACAGAATGATCGAAAGCGAAAGCTGAAGTCAGAGGGTTGCATATTTGCCGATAGATTAATTGGCCACCCATTCGGTGCATATTCAATATGACGCCGGTGATTTCGCCTGGCTGGAGTGCCAGACTGTTGAGCACGATTGAAGAGCAGGTAGATAATTTTGCCCCAATTCCCATAGCATATCTAATAGAACGCGTAATCACATTACAATAGCTTGGGTTGAATTGCCATCATCAAGAGCCTTTCGTTTATATATTTACGTGTAATTCCCCTTGGATCTATCTCCAGGTATCCAAGTTTCCTGAATTTGGCCTAAAGAGTATTTATTCCATCGTATGGAATCGTTGCACCGCCAAGGCATCCATGTGGAATAGCATAATTTTGTTATATTAATTGGAATCATCCATTTAAGTAATGCCCCGAATAAGGCCCATAACGACATAATCCGATTATATAATGATTTTCGTGCTACCATACCGCTCGGATATAACCCAGAGCTAATTTCATCCATCTACCTCATTTAAATCGTTTCCAAACCCTTTACCAATATCAATTAGAGCCGCCTCTAAGCCAAAGAATTTTAATATATTGCTAAACGATTATTTTATTTAATCATTTTTAACAACCTTTTCGAGACATAATACAAAATATTCCTGCAGTGTCCGACTAAGAATTCCTAAATTATAGTATAATACGAACAATCCGACGAAATTATTAGAAAAAAAATATATATATATAATCAATATTTATTAATAATTAATATATTTGCTATAATTATTACAACAAAAACATAAAAATACATAATGTATATTTTTATATCTAATATTTAAAAATTATCTAATTAATAAATAGTATAAAAAATATAATTTATATTTTTTTAGTTATATTCCTTCAAAAATTACAAAAATTCAATCTCAAAAATCTTCCTCCTACGAATCCCTTTTAAAGACCTATTTATTAACAAATATATTCCTTAATAAATTATTTTCAAATATTTTTTATCCCAATCAATTCCCATCCAACAATTATCCTCAACGATCTATATATAAGATTCTATAATTAATTATTTTATTAATAAATATTCTTGTTCCGGACTATTTTATGCTCCTCTTCCGTAGCCCCAAGCTAACGAAATCGACGCTGCAAGCACCAACCATACTTCTTTTTGTTGCAATATAACGTGCCAAAGAAGTAGATAATTATACCAAACAAAATACAACAAGAATCAGTGAAATCAACATGCTTCAAAAGAAATCGCAACCCATCCTAGAAAAATGCCATAAATTTTGTCAAACAAGAGTCAAATCAGAGTAGAATACCGCGCGGGCTGAGCGGGAAATGAGAAACAACTCGTTCAAAAACAAGAAAAGGGACTTAAATCCCAGACATTCACAATATATGTGTGCTTGCTCCAGAACTAAATATCGAAACCTTCGACTTTACTACATAATAGCTAACGAATGCCCTCACATCCACAAAGAACGCCTCACAAGAATGTACGGCCCTCATTCTTGTCCGGACTATTTCATGCTCCTCTTCCGTAGCCCCAGGCTAACGAAACCGACGTTGCAAGTACCAACCATACTTCTTTTTTTACAATGCAACATACCAAAGAAGTAGAGAATCATGCCCAACAAACACAACAAAAAGCAAAGAGATCAATATGCTTCGGAAAAAAAAACAACAACCCATCCTGGAAAAATGTTATAAGCATTGTCAAGTAGGAATCAAATCCACCATTCCAGCATTAGCGGCAATTGTTTACAGCACCAGCCGCCGAATTAAAACACAGACCATACATCACCAGCTGCCAGACATACAACCTAGCAAAATCTGCCTACCAATTGTAAGCACCAACCAAATACACAAACCGTAGCGTACATACCCAGATCTATCCAAAGCATGGCACCACTACGTGGCCACCCACAATAACTTTAGCACGCAGATGCCCGACCATTCACCACTAGCATAAGCCCGAGAAGTGAAGGCGGACGTAGGCACATCACCTATACATATGAATTCCAGAAAAATTAGCCAGCGTAACATAATTATATAGTGAGGAGCTTGTACATCCATACCAGGATCCAATGGCAGATCGGGGGCCCATCCACCACAGCACGCACACCAACCTGAATTCTTGCCCAAACCCTCCAACCAAGCGATCAAGCCCTCACGAGGAGCAATGCATCTGCCGCACCAAAATTAGATCTAACATGTCTCTACAAACTGTACAGAAGCCACCCACCCCCAACCGCGAAGGAATGGACATAAGAAGCAACTTGTTCAAAAAAGGAGAAGGGACTTGAGCCCCAGACATTCACAGCGTATGTGTGCTTGCTCCAGAACTATATCGAAACCCTCGACTTTGCTACATAATAGCTGACGAATGCTCTCACATCCACAAAGAACGCCTCACAAGAATATGCGGCCCTCATAGAGATTAATTCTTTAAGAAATGATATTCAAATTTATTCCATTATATCATGTCATGTCCCAATTCAATGAATATGTATATTATGTATGGATTGCGAATAGTTAATATTAAGGGTTGCCTACCTCCCATTAAATAATCTGCCAAGTATTATAGAAGTCAAACGCTACATCGACGACACGGCTGCAGTTGGCAGAGTACTCAATCGGATTCAATCGGATTCAATTTTGAATGAAAAGTGAACAGTTTGGGTGGAGGCCATCGCTTGCAGGGTGAAGGCCACAGCGAACCTGTGAGATGTTCCCATTCCTACCCGAGCACCTCGGGCTTGTGTGTGTCGTCCTTTTTGGCACCAAGAGCGCCGACTTCTGGCCGAAGATCCATGTGGGAGAAAGCCCAGATATTCACCAGCTTCTCCCACAAAAAAAGGCATAGAACTCAATAGATGCATGAGTCATGAGGTTCAAAGGGCAAACCATGATACAGTATCTTTGGTCTTCCATTCTTGTGTAACCTTTTCTAATGTGTCATAAGTGTCATATATCTATTTTTAAGAACAACAACAACATGTACATGTATATATACTCTCTCTCTCTCTCTCTTGCTAAGTCTTTTGTCAAGTTCCTTGGCTACCATGCCAAACAGTCATGGTCCCACAGCTCGCAGCGATCGCCAGCGCGATCTGAGCCGCGATCAGCACCTCTCTGCGTCTCTGCTACTGGACGCAGTGGGCACCAAAAGCCAGTTGCTCAGCCCGAGCACATCAGAGCATCAATTGCCTGGCTGGAGTGCGAGTGGTGGGGCACCAAGCTCACCCAAGCTGTGCATCTTGTTCTGGCGGACATGTCGATGTGTTTCATCATGTCAATAGTCCACAAATTGAAGACCATCCTCTTCCACTTGTGGGAGTCCAGTTCTCCTCTTCCACCCGTTATGCCCAGGACTGGTCATGCAGTGAAGGCCAATCAGAAGCACTTTTTTCCAGGACACGCCAGTCAACGCCACCGCCACTCGATCGGCACGCGCTAAGACCGATCGAGGGCGATCCGAGGGGTGGCAGGCAGCCGAACGGTTCGAGGGAAGATGGCTCCATGATGCTCCATGGTCGATCGGGATGGCAAGGGAGTCGCGAGGGAGATGACGCCACAGCGGGGTGGGCACTATTAGGGCACTCCGACAGGGGAGCAGCCGAAGCGTTCGAGGGAAGAGACATGCCATGGGATGTGGCAGGGAAAATCGTACCAGATGTGAAGGGATATGTGTCCAAACGGATTTTTATGCCCCCAAAAGGATGGTGTTTGATGGGGGCCTTAAGGCCCTGCATTTCATCGTGGTCATGGTAGCAAGGATGAACATCGTACGGAACTAAGAAATCCAATTGAATCCAAACGACTAGAAGTCACCCTGCATTAAGGACAATCCACTAGCCAGCTTGCAAAGGTGTGCAAAGCATCGCCGGAATCACGTGGTGCCACCTTCAGCGGGCTCCTGCGACTGACTCACTCTTCGTCGAACGCATCACAGAAGGGATCTTGTTGCAAACGCCACGCTCATCTTGTACCCTCATGCAAACCATCCGGAGAATTAGCTCCGTCAGAGCTGGAGGTGGGTGTGCGTTTTTCTATCGACTTATTATTGTCACTTGCCGCTTGGGCACAACTGCGAGCCTAAAAATCCCAGCGTCCCAAAGAAACTCTAAAAGTCTATCTTACAAAAGGCTGGGTTGACGACTCCGCCATTCGTTCGACGTGTTTGGTCGATGTTGTTCCAATCCGTTGCGGCCAGACGAAGAGCTTCGGTCGAGAACGCACACCCCACGTTGCGCGGCGCGTGCGCGGCGTCTCCGGCAGGCGCCGCTTGGGAGGCAAAGGCCGCGCAAAGTCATCCTTGCCTGCGGAACGACAGGAGGTGCGGCAGGGTTCGGTGGGTGCGCACCGGCGGGGCAAAAAAGCATGGGATCTCGGCGTCAAGTAGGGTAGTTGGACCTTGCGAAGGTTGCTCTGGGAATTTGATGAACATCCATCTCAGAAAGCACAACAGGAGAAGGTTTGAGTATCCAAACCTGTAAGTGCCTGTGAAGCCAAGCACACCGACAGTGGGGTCCCCAAACAAACAGTTTCACATAGGTTTACCATGTTGTTAGGACCTTCCCTCCCCGGTGACCTTCTGGTGTTTAGCCACTCTGCGATCTTCCAAGGCTGAACACCCAATTCCAAGAAAGAATGAAGGAGGAGTTCAGCTGAAAGAGGGTTTTCGATGGTGCAAGGGTTTGGAATTTGGTGTTTTCTGGGTGTGAAGGAGGAGTTCAAGGTTCTGGGCAGAAAGAGGGGACTCGTTCTGCCCAAGAAGGTGATAGGAGGGTTGAAACGATGGTTGAAACCATTGGCACCAGGGACCTAGCTTGGGAGGTACCCAGGAAACCAAGTTTAAGCCCCCGGAAAAAAGACCTCTCTGCCATCCCGCAGCTAAAGAGCCGCAGGAATACCACCACACAAAGACTGACATGATGGACGATAGACTAGAAGAGATCGGATCAAGACTACAAACAAATCAAGAAAACCACATCGAAGTCCTCTGAACAACCAAATGGGTGGAGCCTTCTTTTTCGGGAGTGACCGCCCTTTCTCCTTGTGACCCCCCCTCTTCAACTTGTCTCCGACTTCGGGACGTGAATTCATCGGATTGGTTCTACACGGACCAAGCCTCAGGTCCGGCATGTGAGACCCTTCATTTGGAGACCCTCGCTGATCCCCCTCCTTTAGCATGGCATCTTGTGGGAAAATTCATTCTTTGAAACCCAGTTTCATTTCGACATGATGTTGATATGTACTGAAATCCTTCAGAAATACCGATCCATGAAAGACTGATGTCCAAATGCATCCAAAATATCGAGGTGTTCATACGTGTGGGCCGGGTCGGCCGGGTGACTACAGTAGGTAAGTAGGTAGGTAAGGTAGGGTAAGGTAGGGTTAGGCAAGGTAACGGTAGGTACGGTAGGTAGGTCGGTAGGTACGGTAGGTCGGTAGGTAGATCTTCAGACTGGTGTGTTTCGGTGTCCACGGCGCCTGGCTGCACCACCGCGCCGGGCTGCAAATGACGGAAGCCCCGCCTCGGTCTCCGGTCTCCGGTACGGTGGGGGTCGTCCGTGGGGTCGTACTGGTCGTGGCCCGACTCCACTCCCGATGGAGTCGACGGAAGACTCCGGAGTCGGAGTCGACTCCACAGTCAGTCTGTCTTCCATTCAGAAACATGCCATGGAGTCGACTCCCCGGACCTTGCGGTCTCGCGCCCAGATCCTGATCCCGTGCCCGTGTAGCGGACCCGTGCCATGATGGATCAAAGATGCCAACCTACCATGTGGGATGGATCCTACACGTTGAAGTCTTGGGCTTGACCAAACCTGTTCACAGGGATCGAGCATGAGGACAAGTATGCTCCTGACAGCGTGACCGCGCTGCTGCCCCGCTTGACATGACGAACCGAACTTCACCGCTAGCCGAACCGAGGGGAAGAAGCAGGTTCAGCTACGACCCTTTCCTGGTCCTCATATCATGAAGCAAAAAAAACACAGCTCAAGAAAGGGTCAAGCCACCGTCCATGCTTGGTCAAGCCTCGAAACGAGACCGATTAGGTCGTGTCTCGATTTGTTGACAGGAAGGTGAGCCGTCCGTCCTATCATCAGGTGAGCTGTTCAACGTTTTTACCTGTGGGTGTGCCCATTTTACCTGTGCGGCGCTGTGAAACTGGTTTTCCTTTCCTTCTTTCTTTGTTTCCAACAGTGGTGGCCTCCAACCTAATGGCATCCAACAGCAAACTCCATGTGCTTCACTCACAGCGCTGTACTTGTTACTTGTTCATCTGTTTCGCCCCGACCACGACACAGGTCTGCGAATGCACGTTGATCACTTGCAGACCTGGTTTGGAGGTTTACGGTAGTTAACGGTCACCCTGAGCCTTACGACTGTTGTTTGCAGTTCTTCGTTGTTTTAGGACACGCACTGGGCCAAAGAAAGTAAGACCAACAATGCAGAGAAAGATCTCTGAGCAAACGTTCCATGCACCTCTTTGCACAACTTATCTACCTCGTTTCTTTGGTGGTTCACCAACTTCTCTCCATCCACGTCCTTCATCCAAGTGGCATGAAGTTCTCATGCCGAAGCTCAGCCAAGGGCGGCCTCTTTCCGGGGCCCTGGCGGTGCGAGAGTGGAAGGGTGTTTCACCAACTGATTCCGTGAAACACACACCTGATCATGAGGCGAAAAAACATGCCACTCACTCCACATTATATATATATATGTATATATATAGAGAGAGAGAGAGAAGAAGAATTGTAAGAATAAACAGCAAGAGATGGTGGGATCTTCTCTGGCCTGGCCCTTTGATTAGGTTTCTTCCCATTTTAAAGGATTCAATATCATTCAACCACTACGTTGCAACGAAAAGAAAAGGATTGAACCCCATTGGTTGTACAGATCTCCCACACGGCAGAAAAAATCTCTTTCCCCCCCTCTCCACACGGACATCGAAGCGGATCCTTGGACAGTTCCCACCCCGACTCGACCCGTTTTCAGGTTCGCGCTCGGCTGCTACATGTGCTGGCGCCGGTTCTGGGGAGAGGGTCTGGTTGGTGCCACCGCGTGGTGAAACCTGAAGGAACCCTGTTGCAGTTCACAGGTCCCAAAGGTCCCCCCACCTCGCTTGAGCGGAGGGCGTCGTCCAAGAGGTCGTCCTGATAACCCTTCCACCTGCACCGGTGCGCTCGAGCCCGCCGGAGTGGGAGACGACGAGAAGGCGGCCGGCGCGGCGCGTGTGTTTTCGGCGTCCCGGAAGTTGAGCGTTGGGGCGCTTTTGGGCGCTTTTGGGCCGTTCAGTGGCGTTTTGGGGACAGTTCGAATGGAACACGACCCACAGTCTTAGCAATGGGTCACTACGCAGTTTACATGGGTGGCCAAGATGGTTGCGGAGTCAGGTGTAATTACATGCAAGTGAACCATCGCACAAATAGCACAAATGGGAGATGGCTCTGCTCTCCTCTCCTGGCCAGGGGCACTATTCATCGTATTGCGGAAAAGTGGGCCCAAATCAATGGGTGAAGTGTTTCCACAACACAAAGGACTGACATTTGTTGATGGTCACCGTGACGACGTGTCGCTTTCTTCATCGAAACCTCGGACGGGGGTCCACGGGGGCGGAGTTTCTCATTTGGTCAGTAGTCAATGCATTTGGTGGCTGTGACACTACAACACCTTCCCAAGTGAGGTGAACTATGATTGTCATGCTCACCATAATTGAGGTATGGAACATGATAAAACATGGAACCTGAAAGAACTGAATGATCGCACAGCTGCACCAAATTTGAACCATGCGAGGTGTAAACAGCATTCGGGTGGCAAACGTGTAACCTTGTTTGCATGAAGCAGCTGCACCTAGCCCATACTCCCAAACCAAGACATGTTGGTTCTCTGGAGGGTTTCTAGAAGTGTGCAGCTTCGTATGTTCAACGCACGACCGTAGCCAGCCTTGGCCCACGTACAGGATCCTGGGCGCACAAAAACAAGAACACACTTAAAGATTAAAAATACAACACAACGATTAAAGAAACAGAAAAAAAAGAGATACACGCAGAACACGTGACTTCACCATCCCAGCCGACATGACTCGCTTCCTTCCCTCTCCTTCGCCCCTTTGGCCCGCCCAAACGGCCGCTCCACCAACGGCTTACTGCGCCAAGGCTCATGGTAGGGAAAATTGTGGTCGGGCACCAGCTTCACTGTCACCACCCTGAAAAAGACTTCACATCGGCAGCGAACCGCTTCAGCTCGGCGAAGGAGAATGGGGGAAGGAAGGCTCTCAGTGGATGGATGACATTGGGCCTTTGTGCATATGAGCAAGCATGCCAGGCATGCCCCCTTGTCATTCGAAGCCCTGCGCTTTTTAACTTGGACTCTTCATCAGCTGAGAAGTGCTCCCAGCCCGTGCGGCTGACGAAAGGGGGAGCCACCGTAACCCACTGGCGGTCCTAACCCACCGTGCCATCACACGAACCGGTGGTGAACCTTGCGCCAAAAGCCAACCGGTCGCGCCGAAGAAGAAAACGGGTCGAAGAAACTGAACTGACTACAGAGAAGCAGCTGGGTGATTGGCACGAGTTCAACTCCCCCCTGAAAAAGCCTCTGGGACACCTCTTGGACACCTCTTACGGCATCCACGATGCAACAGATTCAACAGATTCACAAGCTAAGGTTGGCTGTGTCATTGCTGTTCGTGCGTCTTACATGTTCGCAACGTTTTACCTCATGAGCGAGACCTTGTGAACCATCCCTCCAACAGCCCCATGCCTATGAAAAAAGATTTGCCTCACTCCGCTTGATGTCCCACCAGTCCTTTGTCACTGGACGTCGCTGTATGCTTTGCCTCCACTGACACGGATGCATCCCTGCTAGCTTTCGTCACCTACACATTCATGAGAAGTCAGCTTACTGACCATGTATGACTTCCTTCACCCATGGTGAGAGGAGAGGGAACAAAAATCGATTTGGCCAGCCGACCAAATCTAACAACTTCTAGTGCTTGGTTGGTCTGGCAGCGAGCGAACTGCAGAAGAACTGGAAGAACCGGGTCCAGGACCGGCCAAATGCGCGCTGCGAAACTCTCAAAAACGCCAGCGCTCCCGCCCCACAAAACGCCACCGCTCGGGGGGGGAGGACCAATTGCCCCGGAACCAAGTGACACGCGCCCTGGTCCGCGCGGACTGCGCGGTAAACGCGCCTGTGCTCCACGGTACCAGGCACCTGCGCGACCGGTGCGATCGACGTCGTCGTCCGCGCGTATCCAAACGTCATCCGTTTTGGTTGGGCGCAGCTGACATGCCGAAGAGCACAGCTGAATATGGATGAAGCCAGCAATCCACAACTAGGAGGGTATAGCAGGAGGGTACAGCAAAACACAAACAAATCGATTGAACAATGCTTCAAACACGTACAATCTTGTACACTTCAAACATCTTCAAACGCTTTGCGATGGCTAGCGGCTACCTGGCTGACCCCATCAAGAATTAGGGACACATTGACGGTCCCCCGGTCCACGAACAAATCAAACACAAATGGTCTCACAACGGTCACCCTCTTCTGTAGACTTTCTGTAGTCCCCTGAGTCTTAGTCCACTGCAAACTCCTTGGAGGTCCCAGACCTCCCTCAGAATGAATAGCCCCAGACGTCTCCCTCACCCATCGCGCAAAAAGAAAGTAAAAAAACGCGTAGGGGGTACAGGACATGCGCGTCAAGGTCAGGACGCGCGGCAAACGCGCGGCAAACGCGGCCGACTTACGTCCGAGGTTCTTCCAAAAACGCTCAAAAACAACCGTGACAGAGCCCGGCGAGTTCTTGGGGGCCCCTGGGCATAGACTCAAAGCGACAGAGCTTGCGGACGTGCATCCCTCTTTTTGCCGAATGCGGCTGCGACCACACCACGAGGCCAGCAGCACCTATGGCGCGCGGCTGTGGCTGCTCTCACCGGCACATGTGAAGGCATAAGCGCCGCCGCTTAGGAATGGACGGCCGTGGAAGCTGAGGTTCCGTGGTGAGAGACCTCTTGTCCGGAAAAAAAGGTGGCCGAAACGGGGGGCGGTGTCCGGTTCCTTCGAAAAGGACGTTGGGCAGTGTAAACCGCCCCTTTAACAGAAAACCCGGAACAAGCTGGTTGAAGCCTTTCAGTTGTCGCGTTGTCGCTCGAGTCGTGTTAGAAGAATCCAGTTTCACTGGCCAAACTGAGTGAGTCCACTCAGATATTCAACGGACCCCTGCCCTACCTACCGGACCTACCTATATCGTACCTATACCTACTTGGCCATGTGAACGCTCACATCCTGGATCTCGGCCACGCCCATCTTCTGGGCATTCTCCACGGTGATCTCCGGCGGCCGATCCTCCTGGCCGCGCGCGGCCGCTCGAACGGAGTCGCGCAGCAACCAAAAGACGGGCCATCCGAGTCCGCCCCCACGCTTCAACAGAGGAAGAAACGAGCTTCAAACGGGGTTGACATGACCTTGAATCCCAAGGAGTCCAAGGAGTCCTTGTTGGATGTTGTTCTTTTGGGAAACTGTTGGGTGGGAATTAGAATCCGCACACGAGGCTGCCTCGGCCATCGCCGAATGTTGGCAGGAAGACTCCATATTCGTCGTTCTTTTCTACGTTGAATCATAACTGCGTTCACCCGTGCTCAGCTGGCAGACTTCACTCCATCTACTCTTTTGGGCCACTTCACTACACATTCACCAAAAAAAAAGGATTCATGCGATGGAAGTGTAGCACATAGTGTTACATATGAAAACGAGGTTTCGACGTTTCGGAACACCTTTTCACCTTGAGCCAAAATATGTCATAAGTCACGTGTCTGCAGTATCCTAGCGGAGTATTTATGGGCTGTACATGCAAACACTCCTCCTCTTGCAAAGCACTGTACTGCTGCGCAAGTTAAAGTAAAACATGTGAAACCTCACGTGGCTACGCCACTCTCAGCCGTGGTAGTGGAGCTTGGCCAGGGACCTTACTCCAAAACATCCAGCTGCCCTTTGCTTCGCTTACTGAAGAAGGCATATTGCAAGTCTTCCATCGTTTTGCGAAGCTGCACCCCAGGAACCGATTTGGTCAAAACATCGGCTTTGTTCTTAACTCCTGGAACGTGGTGCACTTTCAAGTGGCCTTCGGCAACTCTTTCCTGCAACCATAGGTAACGAGTTTGGATGTGTCTGGCTTTACCCAATCCAACTCGGTTGACAGTTCCTTTGGCTGCATTGGAATCGCCCTCTATGGTGACTTCCAAATCCAAACCAAGATCTGCGCGTAGGCTTTGAAGTCCTAAGCCCACAGATCCGCCCTTGACGAGCGCGTAGTATTCGCTGTCGCCTGTCGAAAGGGCTATGGTGGATTGGATGTTACTGCTGTGCTTCAGCACGTGTGTGCCGTAAATGGCAACCATGCCAGTCGTGCTCTTGCGTGTCACAGCATCTCCACCGTGGTCGGCGCCGACCTGGATCCTCAACCTTGAGGGTACCTGCTGTGAGCCAAAACATTGCCCGACATCCGGGTACTTCTTAAGGTACCTGATGAGACGTTTCAAGTCTGCAAGTTTGGCTTCTGTTGGCGACACCATACCTCGAGCGAGGTTCTTGACTGCGTGCCCAGTATCAAGTCGATCTTGGGACAGATACGCAGCGCGCATCGTGGCTGAGCGATACCTCGATGCCTCGCTCTTATCTAGCAGCGGACTGCGGCTTTCCAGCATCTGCTGATCTGCCGACTTCTTGACATCTGGTGATTCTACAGCATTTGCCTTCTCCAAGCCAAATGCCTGGATCAAAAGATCAACATGTCTCCGGTCGGCTTCGATCACAATTGATCCTTTGCCGTTCTTCTTGTCGACTCGGATCAACCGATTCAGAAAGTGTGCTTCTGTTCGGTCTCCATCCTCGTCTCCAAGAATTCCGAGACATTTCAGCTCATAGGCGTCCTTGAGGACTTGACTGAGCTTCTCCAAGTGTTGGGCGTCTCCAAGTGCTAGGAAGTCATCTCCATGCACCATAACTCTGACGTCCCAAGCTTCTTGGTAGAAGACTGACGCATTCGACAAACCTCTGCGGAAACCAGCTTTCTGCAGAGTCTCTGTGTAGTGCGTCTGCCAGATATTCGGAGCGTCCTGTGTCCCGTACATCGACTTTACGAGAAGTCCACACGTCAGTCCGTCTTCGCTGGCTTCGTCCTCAGGCGGTAGCTCTATGTAGATCTTTCTCTTTGGAGTTCCATAAAGTGTGCTCGTGAGATGTCCCACAAGCCCAGCTTCAGTGGCTGGTTGTGGCAAGACTTTCTCTTTGTTGCCCACTACGAGCACAGCAGCCTCATCGCCTCCAAAGGGGGCGTGCTGCTGAAAAGCAAGTTGGCTGGCAATTGTTCTTCTTTGGCCTTTCTCGCCTTTATCTCACGCACAACTAATCGGCTCCTATAGTTTGGGTTTGTTGGATCTCCCTTGTTGGTGTCCAACCATCTCACTGGAATCGGGGGCTTCCCCGTTTCCTCAAAACATTCTGCTCTTGGCCTTGTCACATAGACGCCATGCTTCTCTTTCAAGTAGTCCATTTCAAGGCGTCTTGCCTCCTTCACTTTCTCGGCTGGCAAAATGCCGCCATTCACATCATCCATGTAGACCTCTTCGAACTCTGGGTCCATCAGAGGCATCTCTGGAACCGGACCTGCTGCGAACAGATCAAAGGTGTTCAGCTCACCTTTCTCTGCTAGCGTGTCGCGCAGGCTCCTCAACACTGCATTCACAAGCTGCGGTGGGTATACCGCTGCCTGCCTAGCAATGCCTCCGATCAGGTGGATGTGTTGGTGCCAGACTCCTTGCAGAACTCGTGCCAACCCTTCATCGTTGGTCATCCAACCGGTCTCCTTTCTCACATGGCCGGTGCCTTGGAGTCCTCTTCGATCAGTGGCCTTCATTTGCCATCTGCACATTGGACCTTTCACCACAATCACTCCATCTTCTTTTGCTAGAGCCTCAACCTTTTCATCTTTCCAGCTGGTAGCGGCCCATGGTGCCTCATGATGGAACTTGCGCCCAGCACGGTGTTGCTTGACATACAACTCCACGCTTGTACGCAAGTGATGGATGGCTTCATCCATCTTCTTCCTTCTCACATCCGCCGCCATGTTTTTCCAGTTCAGGTTCTGGAGTTGAGAGAACATGTGACATGGGGGAGGGCGTGTCAAAAGGACTGGTTCGTCTCTCTCTTGGATGTCTTCGGGCTTGTTCAAGTCCCAGTATGTTCCATCCTCCTTCGCTTCATTCAAGTCGACCGTAAAGCCCGGTCGCAACTTGTACCGCTCTGCAAGCGCGGTGAACCTCTTGGACGAGTAGATTTCCATGATATCTACTGCTGACATCTGCATGCTTAAATGCGCGATGTCTCTGATCTCTTGCTCAGTGATCTCGATGCCATTTGCCTCATAGGCTCCTTGAATGATCTTCTTCAGATGCTGTTTGCGATCTCCTTCTCTTTTACCGGCTCGCCGCATCTGGCTTCCACCCTGCAGGTGGTGTTTCTGGAACATGTGAAAACGGAGACGTTTTCTTTGGACTCTCTTCCACTCTGGGGTCAAGTTCCTCTACGGCAGTCTCTGCCGTCCTCTTTGTTCCTTGGGCTGGATTCGGTTTGACTTTTGCCCCTGGTGGATCTATCCTAAGTTCTCCTGTTCTCTTCTTGGGCTCCGTTGCTACCTTGGCTTTTGCCACTGGTTTCTTCTCCACCTCGGCTGCTTGCCTCTTCATCTCATATCTCTCTTTCGGATCATCGGGATAGGTCTTCTCACCTTCTGCCGCTGCTGGCGGCGGGCTTCCCGATCCTGCGCTCTTTGCTTCTTCTTTCTTCGAAAAGAAACCCATCTCACCTCGTTGGGCGTTCCCAAACAGTACAGATTGGGCGGGAAGAGAAAATCACGAGCAGACACCAAACTGCCGCAGTGCCGGGTTACAGCTCAGCGGCAAATTGTTCAACAATCTGCAAGCTTGAAACAGCATGTGAGCAAACAAAAGTCTATCTCACCTCATTGGACGCTTAAAACTGAAATGTTCTGCATGGGTTTGGCAGTGGATCAGCTGCGTTTGCTTGGCCTGTGGCTGACCACCTGCTTCTGGTGACTTGCGCAGCACTAGGTGGGAAGAACTACCCATTAGTGGACACCAACCGGTGCGTTAGGAGGTGACAACTTAGCAGGAAAACTCCAAGTACGAGCACACAAACGCAATCTTACAAGAACATGAAAAAAGAACAAGATGGAGCCCACGAACCCGAATGCAAACACGTTCAACAAGCTACATATGTCCAAATGACACTCTTGTAGGACACTCTTGTGGGACACTCTTGTGGGTCACTCTTGTGAGACACTCTTGTGGGACACTCTTATGGGACACTCTTGTGGGACACTCTTGTGGGACACTCTTGTGGGACACTCTTGTGGGACACTCTAGTAGGAAACTCTTGTGGGACACTCTTGTAGGACACTCTTGTGGGATACTCCTGTAGGACACTCTTGTGGGACACTCTTGTGGGACACTCTGGTGGGACACTCTTGTAGGAAACTCTTGTGGGGCACTCTTGTAGGACACTCTTGTGGGACACTCTTGTAGGGCACTCTTGTGGGACACTCTTGTGGGACACTCTTGTAGGAAACTCTTGTGGGACACTCTTGTGGGACACTCCTGTAGGACACTCTTGTGGGACACACTCTTGTGGGACACACTCTTGTGGGACACACTCTTGTGGGACACTCTTAAGGGACACTCTTGTGAGACACTGTTGCGGGACACTCTTGTGGGACACTCCTGTGGGACACTCATTTGGGACACTCTTGCGGGACACTCTTGTGGGACACTCTTAAGGGACACTCTTGTGAGACACTCTTGCGGGACACTGTTGCGGGACACTCTTGCGGGACACTCCTGTGGGACACTCATTTGGGACACTCTTGCGGGACACTCTTGTGGGACACTCTTGTAGGACACTCTTTTGGGACACTCTTGTGGGACACTCTTATAGGACACTCTTGTAGGAAACCCTTGTGGGATACTCTTGTAGGACACTCTTGTGGGACACTCTTGTAGGACACTCTTGTGGGACACTCTTGTAGGGCACTCTTGTGGGACACTCTTGTGGCACACTCTTATATGGACACTCTTAACTCTTGTGAGACACTCTTGTGGGACATGGTTGCGGGACACTCTTGTGGGACACTCTTGTGAGACACTCTTACGGGACACTCTTGTAGGACACTCTTGTGGGACACTCTTGTAGGACACTCTTGTGGGACACTCTTACGGGACACTCTTGTTGCACACTCTTGTAGGACACTCTTGTGGGTCACTCTTATGGGACAC